CCATCAAAACCCTAAGCATCAGCTTGCAGAAGCAAGAAAGACCCGGGTTTAAGGACCTTGTTCGACTTGACTCTCCGTGAGATGGAGGATGATAGGTGTTCGGTTTTTTTTGGGGGGCTTTGCTCCTTTAAGGGGATCTCCACAACGACGCGTTTCTTGCTCTAATTTTTTTTTAGAGCTTTTAGAAAGGGCCCTGAGAAGGCTTTCAGCTTGAAAGGCAAGGGGCCTCCCTAGCCCCCCATTTTGGCCCTCTGAACGCGGCCGTATACAAAGAGCAGGCGCCGCATGGTTTAGGGTTTAGGGTCTAGGGTTTAGGTTCAATATCCATCAGATCTGGCAGAACCAGGCTACAGTAGGGCTGGGGCGCACCTTCCCCACCGTAGTACCCTAGACAGGGTTGAAGGAAAGGTGGACGACCAGAGGCCTGACAGGAAGCCAAAAAGTCCCACTGGCAAGGACCAGATGCGGATGCTCAGGTGATTAGAGTCCCTCTTAGGGTCCTTGTTCGAAGGGTGCCGTACTGAATTGGGGACCCAAAAAGGGACTTAATTTGGAGAACTACCCATGTGCACAGATATCGGTGTAAACCCTGAACCCCAAGCCCTACACCCGGATATCGTAAAGAACAGTTCCAAGGTGTGCCCTTAAGGGGCCTCGCCCGAGAGGATCGAAACTTGGTCGTCAGGATTCCTGCAACACGAACAGGGGCCTGCCAGGGAATGACTTGTAGAAGCAGATAAAGACGTGTAGATCGCCGCGAAGTATACATACGGACATACACACATGTAAAGGTACATGCGGTACTCGCGCAAAGACGGCAGCGAATGAAACTGAACTGCTGCTTGTAGCGACGAAGGAGCACTCGTCGTGGACGTCGTCAGAATGATGCCGAAACCCCTTGCAGCCAAGGAATGTTTTTCCTTACAGCAGAAGCAGCATATGGACATCTCGGTTTCCGTCTAACCGCGCCCCCAGGCAAGGGTTTAGGCTTTCGAGCTGTTGCAGCTACTCTGTTCTAAAATCCATGAACGGGTGTCTTCGGGTTCAGCCTGGACCCGGAAAGGGTTTGGGAAGCTCTGCAACTGGAGCTTTTTGATTATTTTCTTGAAGTTAAGGTCCCAGAACAACAATATTAATAGCAGTACTTGCTGCGAACCAGCAGGCTCAGAGGTAGACACCAGTGGAGTACCGAATTCCCCTGTCCCATATTCCCCAGTACCCGTCATGGCTCACTCGCTCGTGGAGGTTTGACACGCAAACGAACAAGACAGGTCTTTGCTATTTGGGTTTGACACCTACAACTATGCTACATGTTTTTGGTTTAAAAGCATGCTCAAGACTCAAACCGTGCGTAGCCTAAAGAGCAACGAAAAAACGAGCATGTACGCATGTCATGAGCTGCAAAGGTGGCATGCATTTCAGCAGTACTAGTAACAATGACGATGACAGTCATAATACTCATGCGGATCATACTTGTCTTGAGTTAAGGGACCCTGAAATTAAGGATTCTCCGGAATTAGGGTCTTTATGAATATGGGACCATGAGTAGGTGTTCTAGCCGGTTCAGGATTCAGGGATTTAGGGTTTCGGATTTAGAGTCGGATTCAGAGGTTTCCATGGTTTTTGAGAAGGGGAATTTGCGGACGGGCCTTGTCAAGGGTATTTCTACAAGCCTAAAAACTAAGCTTTAAATCCTGAGCCGCGAAAAAGGAATTGAGCGCCCAATCCTAGGAGTTGCATCAACCTCAGCCCTGAAGAAAACCCCAGAAGGCTGAAACCCGGAGCTCTGAGCATCCTAAACTCGAATGAGTATTTTGGACAAAGGTCTGTAGAGTTTTCATGGGCTTCCTAGGTTGGTTGATATATTTTAGCTTGTTGGGGTTCACGGATTAGGGTTTGAAAAAAGTCCCTGATCAAATAAGCACTAGGACCCCCATCATAATTCTGATTAAGGGAAAGGGTTTATTAACCAGAGCTTTACATTGAGCCCGTTACATCAGCCCCTGGAGCCCTGAACCTCTGAAGGTTCGAAGCATGTCATTTTACAGAACCCTGTCGCGACAGCCCGAGCAGTCTGTGGCAGAAGAAGGCCAGGCCCAAGGCACAGCTAACAAGATCGCTGTGACCAAAGTTTAGGAGCTGGGCAACAGAAAGTTCAAGGTTCAGGCGAACATCGATGAGAGCAAAGCGAATCTCCGCAAACAGCTGAAGCAGCTGCAAGAGCTTCAGGCGAGCATCGTTGAAACCCAGGAGCGGGCAGACCAATGCTCCAAGCACTGCGCGGATGTCTTGGCCCCCACAGAAGGCCTATTCGAGTCCTTCGTAGAGGCTTTTGGCAGCATGTCCCAGCTCACGGACACTCAGAAAGGAGCCCTGCAATGTAGAGAAGAGGCAGCGAAGAAAAGGAAAACGGAAAATTGCAGCGCAGATCGTAGATCCCCACACAGTAAGCGAGCAAGCGCTGTGTAGAACCGATACCAGACGACCACGATGACCGCGATAACCAGGACCACCGCAACGACCAAGACCAACATGACCACCACCAGGTTCCCCCATGGACGAGCCCTTGCCCGAGAAGCTTCGCAGTGTGGCCTTGCTAGGAGTTGTGGCGCTTCGGCGTTTTGAGAGCACCAGGAAAAAAAAAAGGTCGCCCCGACATCGGGATTTGTTAGGACCACAAGGACCAGCCCGAGAAGCCGAAGAGTGTGGTTTTGCCTTTGGAAAGTTTCGACGGCAAGAATGAAGCCATTGTATTAAAACTCGGAACCCAGTGTTACCATTCTGTTTGGGGAAGTGACCGACTAGTCAGTGCAAAGGATATACCAAAGCAAATTGTTTCAACATGAGGCCCAGACCAAGCCCTGAAGCCCAGAAGCCCGAAGCCCAGAGACCTGCAGGCCACTTCGTCTACCGCTGTGAAGAGGGATCTTGGGCTGATCAAGTAGGTCTTCAACAAGGCCAGTTGAGAGAAACTCCTGAGGAAGTTCATGTCCTTGTTTTGCTATATCAGTTTCTACTACCGCCCTGTCTTTGAGAAGTTAGAGGTTTGAGTTTAGGGTTGTAAGGACCTGGGATGTGGAGATCCTAGTTTGTTCTAGCGGCAATAGTAGTTCCAGTCGTCGTGGTGGTTCTGGTGGTGGCAGTGGTAGTGGCAGGTGAATGTTGCTGTTGCTTTTGCTGTCGTTGCTGCTGTTGTTGTAGATTGTCCGAGCGCGCTTTGCCTGCAGGAGACCAGCTTGTGCAGCTGCAGGGAATGGACGTTGGACTTTTGCTCCTTGCCGATGTTCAGATCCCGAAAGCCTGTGCCCGGCAACGTCATGCAAGACTCCGAATCAGGCTCTGAAAAATGAGAAGTACTGTTTCTCCGGGCTCCTCAATGCACACCTTCAATCCGCTTTCACATCCTAAACTCCCAAACCCATCTCAACCCTCCATCTGCACTCCAAAGCCTCAGCTCTAAGCCGTAAGCCCCGAAGATGTAATCAACTACAACCAAAAGACCAAAACCCTAGACAAGAAACCGCTGAGAACAAGGCCTTAAAACCATAAGCCCCAAAGGGCGGTCCCCAGTGAGGCCACATGCCTTGCTGCGGCTGGCCCTGGAGCGACACCGCCCTCTTGAGCTCACCTTTGCTCGAGGCACTGGGTTTAAAGTTCGGTTTAAGGTGGTTCCAGCTTTGTCGGGATAGGAACCAGGCTTTTTTTTGGGGCTCCTTCAAGCTTCGGCGTGTTCGGAGTTTAGCACTCGTGCTTCCGTCCTCAGGTTCATCTTGGTGTATTTTGGGATTATGCTTTTGTGTTCGTGCGAGCCGGAAAAACCTGGCGTGTCGCTTCCTTTCCGGAGGGGGTTCATGTTTGGAGTCGACGGCGTCAGGGTCTCACTTGGAGGATCATGGGACTGAGTAGGTAAGGTCATAAGTACCTGAATTGGGTCTATAAGTAAGTATAAGTATAGTTGCCTCAGTTGTAAACTGAGCTGCTAGTAAGTCTCGTGATCCTTTGAGCCGTGGGGTGGAGAGCTTCGATCTGCTGTGTCTCGCACCATCGAAGCCAGAGACTCGCCAGCCGAATAGAGAGGCCGAAGATACGTACCACTCCTATTTCTGGAGCTCCTTCTTTTTTTTGTTTATAGAACCCTAAACCCTAAACCCTCAACCAGTACAGTATGCTCCAAAGCCCTATTCCAACCATTGCGGCCCCTGAATCAGCAGTCTCGCAAGCCCTTCAGGTTGGAGGCGCTACGGGTTTGACTTAGACTTGATGAGAGCACTGCACGTGCATATGTGTGTGTGTGTGCATATACATATAGACACAGAACTACAAGCAAAAAAGCACCTCTGTGCATACATATATGTATGTGTATGTGGCATATCTATATATATATACATATATATATATGTGTGTGTGTGTGTGTGTAACGCCTCCACTAAGTTATTACGTTTCAACGCTTCTGGCCTGCGTTCAGAGAGAAAACCTCTCGAGTACCGATGCCTCAGTCTTGGCAACTTAACTGCTCAAACCCTAAACCCTACTACTGAAACCGTAAGCCCTAAGCCTTACTACTGAAACCCTATACCCTAAGCCTTACCACTGACATTATATACCATCGGACTCACTCTGACTTACCTCGACTCTTATAGACATGCACGGGAGCTCTCAATTGCTTATGAAAGCAGCAAGGTTGCAAGGGGCGGTCCTTTTGGATTCTTCCGGGTTCTGTGGACAACTGCCCGGTGTTAGTTGAAGCTGCACACACTGCCCCAAGCTGTCCAAGGACTTGGAACACTCAGATCATGGAGCTCAAAGAACGCTAGCCGACAATCTAAGGCAGAGTCTTGTCTCAAGGGTTCAACGTGTTAGAGCGTCTCTGGAGAGGACACCTAGCACAACCTTCAGAAGTTCCCTTCGTTGAAAAACCCCATGGCCCGCTCCACCTCTAAACCCTGAACTGCAGCCTTTTTGGCTCAGGGTCGGACCTGGCGAGGCCCTCGTTTGGCACCATGTCTGGTGTTGCTCCCTTTGAGGCCCTTGCGAAGCTGCCGGAGCCTTGCAAGCCTGAGAGCCTCGGCATGGACATGCTTCACAGTGTGTTCCTGGGCTCTGATAAACGGCGTGTAGCTCAAGGTACCATGCGCTTTTTTAGGGATTTATGACTTGAACTGAATCACCTTAACTGACAACGAGGTTGGCCGTGCAGCCAGAGGAACATGCCTTGGACGAGGGGCTTTGCAATCCAGAGCCAGATCTCATCGCCGAAGCCGGTAAGCAGTCGCCTTCGGATTCTCGCTCAAGTACTTGCATGCCACTGACATTCGGTGAAACGGTGGATTTTGACACTGCAGATGTCGGGACGGACTCACGTCACTCCTTCTTCTCAAAATCCTTGGCAGATGGCACAGACCACAGCCGTCCACCAAATCGAATTCTGCATGACCATCACAACAGCCGCATGGAGGGTTTCTTGAAGGCCGCTTGGGTAATTTTGCAAACCTCACATGCAATCTTTTCGGCAGTTTCAAGAGTTTAGACCACAGTCAATTCCATAAGGATCTTGCCGGGGGCTTTCGGGTTTCAGGGTTTTGGGTGTTCTGGTTGAGGCTTTTCACAAGCCGCTGGTGGCAGTAGGTGCCTGGCCGCAGGAGCAGAATTCAAGACACCGACTGGGTATTGGGGCTTTTTTGCTTGAAGCCCTGTTTTGCGGTTGAAAGCTTGGTGGTATAGAAACTGCACAAAACCTCCCAAACCCCTAAGAAAAACCCTGAACCCCCCAAAAAAGAAGGTCCTAGACTCTAAACCCTACAAGCCCTCTAATAAAGTCTGGGTTCTCTTCTGAACAAAGACCCAATTCCCCCGCAATGTACTTCTCTTCGGCGTCCGGGAGACTCCGACAGCCATGAGGCCATGTCCGCGTCATCCACAGACTTGGAGGAGAAGGTCCGAGTCTTCCGAGGCCCGGAGGGGTTACATCTTATGGGTAGTTCTCTAAATTAGGGCCCCTTGTTAAGTCCCAAATTTAGTACGGCACCCTTATCAGAAGTACAACGAAAGGGACCCCAATTTAGAAAACCACCCGCATAAAATAGTATACAGCCCTTCACCCTCAAGCCAGGGGGTAGCTCCTGCAAGACAAACACAGAGGCCTGAATTCTCAGTAATGGTACCCCCTTTTGTGGGCCTGACATAATTGTGCCAACCATGCAACTACATACCCCAGCGCCTTCTTCGAATTGGATCCTTGCTCTTTTTGAAGGTTGCCAAACCTGATCTTCCAGGTGGTTCCGAAAACCGGGGCTACCTTGAAGAAAAAGAGACCATTGTCATAAACAGCGTAGTATATGGGTTTAAGGTGACCTTACTGCTTGGAGATGCTGGCGGCGGACGGCACTCCGAGTACTTGTAGCAGCATTCATAGTGGAAACAGAACTAAGTACACTGAGCAGACCCACCGATTTGTTATTGTATCTCCGTGCGAGGCGGATCGGCGGATGTGCGGGTGCAGAAGCAGTGGCTCTGGCGCAGATGGTGTCGTAAACCGGCTTTCTAGCGTTGATCAAAAAATGAGGATCCTGCCATTGAACATACATACGTACATACATACGTACATACATGCATAGAGAGGGGCCGCTGATCTTCTGAAGATTCCAGAATCATGCCCTGCTTCGCCCCACAAACCCAGCGGGACTGAGATTAAGTCCCAGGCCCAAAGCATACCACGGATGCCTATGACCGAGGCCGGATATCAGCTTTAGCTTTTCTTAAGCCTGGAGTTAATTTCTACCGGTATAACAGTCCCTGGCACGATCGTGCACAAGACCCAGGAGAACAAAGTGTATTGACTTGTCTCCTCGGGTAGCAGACCGTGCTCTCTCGGGCAGAGCTGGAAAAAGTTTCAATGAAACTAGCTCGCGACACCAATTCTATGGGCCGCGTAGTTTAAGCCTCGCATGATGGTGCTGAGGTGCGGCCGCTAGCTACTTTTACAGGCCGACTTTGTTTTCCCTTCAGTGACCGTCCTCCGGTTGTTTTCCTCTCCGGCTCACAACCTCGACCGCACAGAAGACGACAACGTCAACGACAGGAGCAGGGGTAAGAGGGCTAGCAGCCTCAACATTATCGACCCCAAATAGTGCTCTTCAGGGTATGCCATTTCAGCAAGTAACGACACTTAAGTCACTCCTGGACTCTTTTCACGGACAGTAAATGCAAGACGACTTCACAACCATCTGTCGACAGCTCGGATGATCTGTGAGCAGACAGAAAATTTTGAGCAAACTCAACGTCTTGAGAGCTACTTTGAGGTTCCCGTTGTGAACCGTGCCTGTGCTTGCCTCTAAACCCGAGACACCGCATGAAAGCTTCTGGTGCTTTGCAAGTGCATGGTTCGCACAGGGTGTCGTTTCCAAGCGGTCCTGCGAAGTCAGCAGCAGGATAGGGCCCCGGATGTCTTGTCGAGAAGACTAGGCCAAGCTTATCTCAACACATCGCGTCTGTGTCAAGCACGATGCAATTTTAGATCCCTGGATGGAGGAGGCTGCAAGGGCCCTCCAACCCTAGACGGGCTGTGGGTTACAGCCTCTTTTTTTTATCCTAGACGGTTGGCGTTGCGATGTCAGCACCATCAGATCCGGAAGTCAGATGCGCGCCAAATGGACATCCAGACGGAACAATAGTCCAACAAAAAGTCTTCTTCAATGAGAGGTAGTATTCGTCATAGTAGCAGCAACGCCACTACCAATTTGTCTCATCGTCGTAGTGGTAGTTACGGTGGCGATGGCCGCAGTGCAGTGGCACCACTACTACTACTACTACTACTACTGCTACTGCTACTGCTACTGCTACTGCTACTGCTACTACTACTACTACTACTACTACTACTATACTGCTACTACTGCTGCTGCTACTACTACTATTATTATTTGTATTTGCACTACTACTACTGCTACTACTAGCAGGATAGTACCGGTAGCAGCAGCAGTTGGGTAGCAGTGGCAGTGGCGGTAGGAGTCGTAGTGGTAGTGGTAGTGGTAGTAGTAGTAGTAGTAGTAGTAGTAGTAGGGTTTAGGGTTTAGGGTTTAGGGTTTAGGGGTAGTGGTAGTAGTGGCAGCAGCAGGTGTAGCAGTAGAAGCAGCAGGAGCAGTAGCAGTAGAGTGTACGGTGATTCGAGCATGTTTGGCGATCAAGACTTCGACTTCTCGGTGTTTGGAAGGTGTCAGCTGCAATAAGCAGCAGCAATCTGCCGCTGAAAGCCTGAAGAAGCGCTTTCAAAACCCTTTACGCTCGGCGCAGATGCCCGGTTTGAAAAACCAGGATGGCAACACTGTGTTCCAGTTCTGACCCTTTTTCTGGCGGTAGTAGATTATACTAGTCGTAGACCCAAGACTCTGGCTTACTCTCCACCTTGGACCGAACAGTCGTCTCTGTCACATTTCAGAGCTCCTAAGGCGATAACCGCAGAGACCCTACTTCAATTTTCCTGACTTGCTATGGGCAGGGCTACGAGCCAAGTACTTCCGGCTAAGACTTATACTTGCAGTTGCTCAAGTAAGTAATTGCTCTACTTGCACTTGCCCATACCAGCTCTCAAGTTTCAGCCTACAAATCAAACAGGGCTTTAATCGCAACCTTCAGCTGTACCTTGAGAATCCAGTGGATCCCCTCTTCCGAACCCGAAACTAACATAGCAGTTTCAGAAATGAGATGCTGAAGACCCCTGGAAAAGGCACACTAACTTAAGCAACCCCTTCAACCCTTGGGAAAAGTAGCTCCTAATTTTCAAAACTCCCCACACGCTTCCGAAATTTCAACTAGGGCCGAAACCGGGGCTGCAGGGCTTCAGGCTGTGAAGTTTGGATCGTTAAGGGTTCAGGGCGCTGAGTCATCAGGATTTAGATTGGGCGGGTGCTTAGGTCGAGTTTAGTTCGGGCTTGGTATTTCGGGTGAAGGTTGAGTCATTGAGGACCTAGCCAGTTGATGAAGAACTAGGTGCCCCAGTAATACCCTTTTGCCATTTTTAGCTTGGGGCCCCTTGTTAAAACCGAATAATAAGAAAAAAGGTGCCCGTATTATCAAGGGGTTACTTGGGAACCTAGAGAAAGAAAGGGAAGCTTTGCATAGATCAGATGGCCGAGGGTGAAGTTAGAGTCTGGGAGGTTTCACAAAGAGGTCTGAATACACAGCAGTGATATCCCTTGACAGTCCGTGTATGAACGAGGTCATTACTTGAAACCATTGATGAGTGTTCGTAGGGCTCCTATTGAGTATTCGTGAGTGCATAGTTCGGGTTCTACTATGGGGTACTCTTCATGGAAACCCAGCAATATGCCCCGCAAACCCTGGTCTACTTATCCAGGTCCCTACATCACTTTAGACCCTACACCTTGTGAAAAGAACAAGCAGAAAACTTCTGACGACCTTTCCAGTTCTTATGAAGCCCTTTAAGACTCGATGAAGCCTGTTTTGCGCTGTGGTCAAAGTGTCGTAGCTTGTATCTGTTTGTAATGCGGCTGCTGACTGTAGGTTTTTTGGAGTGATGGGTGTAGAAACGACCCTCTGAAGCCCAAAAACCCACAACGGCCCACCGTCCCAGGGCAAAAAAAAGTGCGCAAGGCTAGAGAGCCTAGGAACGTAGCCCAAGAGCCGCTGCTTCCCTGAAGCCTAAAAACCTGAAATCTTTCTATGTTGTAGGTTATGTATTCTATGTTGTAACGTTATATACTCTATGATATAGTAATATACTAGATGAATGTTGTAGTAAATGTTGTACATGATATACTGGAAAAGTATACTAGATATTTGCTTCAAACGCCAGGCTTCGGCGTCGGAAGCCTGGTGGAGGACATTGCCGGGTCTCTGTCAGGCCGAAATGGGATTTCGCACACAATGGGCCCTTCTGGGCTTGGGGTTAAGGGGTTTAGGGGTTAGGGGTTTAGGGATTAGGGTTTAGGGTTTAGGGGATCCGATAATAAGAGTTTTTCAGAGGGCTCCTTGAGGGCTTCTACAGGGTTCAGGGGTTGCGGTGGGGCCTCAGTAGTGTTTTTTCTTCAGGTCTCTCTTGAAGTATTGCTGGGTCTGCTATCATTGAGACACGACCAATAAACACCCTACATCCTTTCAAAGACTTGAGAATTGGAATTGTGGGGTTTTGTCGACCTAGGCGTCGAGCCTGTGGCTGAAATCATTCGGGCCGCAGGACTTCTGGGATCAGGCATTTTGGGATTTCGGCGTAGGGCTTTGCTTCGGGCAGGTCTCCAGATGTAGGGCGTAAGATCTTCAAGTGATGCTCGAGTGTATGGGGCACGTGGATGACTTGCAGAAGGCTCACCAGTATTTGAAGCAGGCTATACAATTTTGCCTTTACCTTATGCTATGGCTGAAATCCTGAACCCAGCGAAATCCAAACCTTACATGCCGAACTCTAAAGCCATAACTTATAATCATATCTTTGTCTTACCCTATGCATAGGGAATT